GACCCCCAGACGAAGCGGCTGTGGGTCCTAAGCAGTGTGGGTTTAAATTGCATTTATAAGGCTCAACAGTAAGTTTCAGTCTAAATTCCCTTTCATCCTCCATCCTGGTTGGTCGCAGTGGTAGACATTATTTTTTGTTTACGATTTCTTTCTTCCTTCCCCACCCTTTACCTGTTTTGCTATGGATAGAATACACTTTTCGCCCTGGCCAGTTTGGCTCAGCGGTAGAGCGTCAGCCTGCGGTCCACAGAGACCCTGGTTCGGTTCCCGCTAAGGGCATGTACCTTGGCTGCGGTTTGTCCCTGGCCCTGGTTGGGTTGTGTGGGTGGCGGCCACTTGATGTGTCCCTTTCACATCGATGTTTCTCTCTCATCCTCTCTCTCCTTCCTGCTCTATCTGAATAAAAAATGGAAAAATGTCCTCGGGTGGGGATAAAAAAAAAAAAAAAGAATACACTTTTCCACGCCATTCACTTTGGACTTGGTCTATAGAATGTGGATGGATACAACATGTCTGACCACAGGTTTTATTTATTTGTTTATTTTATTTTATTTTTTTATCCTCACCCGAGGACATTTCTCCATTTTTTGTTCAGATAGAGTAGGAGGGAGAGAGAGGAAGAGAGAGAGAGAAACATCGATGTGAAAGGGACACATTGAGTGGCCGCCACCCACACAACCCAACCAGGGCCAGGGACAAACTGCAACCAAGGTACGTGCCCTTAGCGGGAACCGAACCTGGGTCTCTCTGGACCGCAGGTGGATGCTCCAACCGCTGAGCCAAACCGGCCAGGGCTGACCACAGGTTTTATATGAATTTGTGGAATTGGCTTGACTTGCATTTCTGCAATTTGCCATGAGGACAGAATGGCTTTGGTAGCCATTATCCATTTAGCCTAGCTCTCTGAAGGAGAAACAAGAGGAGCAAACCAAAATGTAAGTCAAGGCAGGCCTGGCCAACCCACACACAGTGTGCACAGACCAGTGGGAGAAAAATAAATGTCTGTTGTTAAATATCACTGACATGTGGGGGTTATTTGTTGTGTAACATTATTGCAGCAAAAGCTAAACAATACAACCATTGAGAAACTAATCGTTCCTGTAATGCCTACCATGAGCAATCATACAGACTTTGAAATGTGCACTCTGGGTTCCAGTTAGCTGGTCCCCATCTTTCCAGTCATTAATCAAATGGAGTAAAGTCTGTTTAAGGGACCCACTAGCTTGCCCTGACTGGTTTGGCTCAGCAGTGAGAGCATTGGCCCATGGACTGAAGGGTTGTGGATTCGATTTTCAGTCAAAGGCACGTACCTGGGTTGCAGGTTCGATCTCCAGCCCCAATCGGGGTCATGTGGGAGGCAACAAATCAGTGTGTCTCTCTCACATCAATGTTTTTCTCTTTCTCTCTGTCTAAAAATCCATGGAAAAACATCCTCGAGTGAGGATTAACAAATAAATAAACAAACAAACAAAAAAGGGAAGTCTCTAAACCTAAAAGAAAATAGAGACCTACTAGCTTGTCTTGAGGATGCCAAGAATGTTCTTGAAAGTGAGATTTTACTACTACTGGAAAAATCAGTTTACAGAGCAGTTTGAATGCTCTGTTAGGAATATTTTAAATATGCATGCTGGCAGCTCCAGAATTTCTATAGAGGTGGACTGAATAACAATCTGATGGAAGGGAGTGGGGTGAGCAAAAAGGCTTGCCATTGCATTTGCCTAAGCACTTTAATATAACTGAAAAAACTCTCAATTGGCATATTAAAGAATGGTTGGAGAGGAGCTGCTGAAGATGATGTGGAATCCCAAACCCCACACTCTCAGGTAATCTGTGGCCCATACAGTGCCTACAGTAAGTGTATCTATAAATATACAGAGAGGGCTGGAAGGATAGACACCAAAATGTTCATGGAAGTTGTCAATGAAAGTGGAATTCTGGGAAAACTTTACCTTCTTTCTATTTTTAAGTTGAACTTAATTTAATTTAATTTTTTCCCATCACCATTTATCCCCACTGTACCCTCTTCCACCTCCACCCACTCCTCCTCACCCCCACAGTCACCACATTTACCCTCTTCTTTGTGTTTTCCATATTGTTTGAGTCTTTTGCACTGAACATATATCACTTCTCCCACCGCCAAGAAAGAGTTGTTTTCCACAAAGAAAAGAAAAAGATTCTACAGACCTCTACTTTTTCCTACATCTCTTTTCAGTCATCTAAATGGTGCCCCTCAAATCCCCAAATTTCAGTTCTCCCATTATGTCTCTCTCTTGCTTTTTAACTCCATTCCTTCTCTGAAAACAACCAAATGTAAAAGGAGTAACACTGGGTATAAAAAGGAGCCTTGACCTGAGTGTTAAAATTGTAGGTCCAGCTCTCAACTTCTCTGTAGGACCTCAGCCTCCACATCTGAAAAAGGAAGGACTGGATGAAATAAGGGTCACAAACTCAAATGCCTAGAGGAGTCAGGGAAGGATGAATGAGAGACACAGGCAATCTGGGGGAGCTGAGGGCATTGTTGGACTGGAGGACACCAGCCCAATCTACAGGAGGCACCGCGCAGACCTGGGGTTGACAGATCTTCTGATTTATTGACAGGCTGGATATCTGGTTTTTATATGAACTCTTCTGATTTTTATAATGTTGGCAAATACATTTTAAAACATTTTGTGAATTCTTGCAGGCCAAATTAACCACATTTATGAAGCTATCTGGCAGCTGGTGAGCTGACTCTGGGTGGGATGCTCTTTAAGGCCCCTTATTTCACTCTCCAGGAGCCTACTCTGGCGCCACCTATTGATGGGGGACCATCATACTTCCCTCGAAAGCATTTTGAAAAAAGGGCTATTTCTTAAAATTAGACAGATGGATTAAGAGGTCATTTATTTTCATGCCAAAAAATTTATCTTACTAAATGGCCTCTCAGGTGTAATTAAAACATACCAAAACATGATTTACTCATGCTAATTGGGAATACAGGACTATGAAAAATAAAGAACATTTATTATTGACCACATTCCAGGCACTATTCTGTTTTAAAGTATTATTTCATTTAATCCTCACTATGATCCCATGAATTAAGTAGTGTTACTACCCTGATTTTATTAGATGGGGGAATTGAAGCCCAGAGAGATTGTGTGTAACTTGTATAAAATAACATAGTTAATTAGTGGTGGAGCTAGGATTCCAAAGCAGGCTGCCTTAATCAGAAAGTTTGCTCTTAAAATAATTACTCTAAATTGAAATTGGGATTTTCGCCTAAATCCTCAGCAGAATGCAGAACTGGTCTTAATTTTCAGGCAATAATTCATCATCAGAATTTTACAGGATTTGGCTTTTTAAAAAAAATCTGGCTATCTGAACAAGATAGATATCATCACGTTACATTTGCTCACACCAGGTTTTTGCAGCAACTCCTGGAAGAAAAATTGGGTCAAGAGGAGGAATCATGGAGCAGAATTGCTGAGCAGCCACTGCCTAGGGCTGCTGGATTCAGCAAATTGAGGTGAGCTTTTTCCATCTGTGAGAATATACTCAGAGCTGTGGATTTTTATAGCTTTTTTTTTTTAAGCACCAGGAGCTTCCCCATCCCCACCCCACCACCCGTGCATACCGTCTTCACAGAGAGCGCAGTGATGTGTTATATCTGCACAGAGGCTTCAATTTAGACAAGCTACACAGAGCAGGAGTGAATTCCCAGGGTGCCAAACCCCTGTAGCAAGCCCTTCCCTTTCTCATAAATACCCCTTGCTTTCGCCTCATAATCATCAGAACTCTATTCGGGTTTCTGCCTGATCAGTGCTTCCTAAATGGCTCTTCCATGATCTCAAATAAGTATCTGTTGCCTCTCACTTTGGCTTTTTATTTTTAAAGTTATCACAGTAAAAAAAAAAAAAAAAAAGGAATAAGATTTATTTCAGATTTGTGAAGATCCCCTTCAGAATTCCTTCTCCCATCACGTACATTTTCTCTCAAGGCTATCCACCCCAGACCTCTCTCTGCCATCATTTCCCGCAATGTGGTCTTAGTTGAGACCACCCAGTATTTACCATAGCTACTCTGTCAACAGAGAGCCCCTAGTGGACACAGGTGACACATGACAAATTTGTAAGAATACAGGGAATTCATTTGCATTTCCACATATCAAAATTTATTTGCATGTCTATGGACAAGAATTATTTGCTTGTCTATAGGTTGTCTACAATTTATAGACTTATGAAAGAGCTCCAAGACAATGAAAGGCAAAGATACTCCATAGACTTAGATAACCCAGAAGGATGTGTTTGGATAATGTTTGCTGATTTTTTTTTTCCCATTGATTTTTAGAGAGAGACATCAACTGACTGCCTCCTGTACAACCCTGACCAGGGCCCAGAATAGAAACTGCATCCCAGGTATGTGCCCTTGACCAGAATCAAACCTGAGACCCTTCAGTCCACAGGCCAACGGTCGAACCCCTGAGCCAAAACTGGCCAGGGCTCTCTGCCTATTTTTCCATTGAAGACACCCAGTAATAATTTATCTCTATTTCAATGTCTTTCATATTTTTTCCTATATTCTGTGGTTGAACCTTCTTACTTCACAAATAAAGACAAGAAGGCCTAGATGAAAATAGCAGTCATAATACGTTTGCCACAAAGAAGGGCAATTACGTGTGAAGCTCGGGCCACTTGCGTCTCCAGGACAGTTCTGGGCCTGTGCTTCTGACCTTCACTTCTCATATCCTCCTTTCCTCCCCATGTTCCTGTAATTCCACCTGAACTGTGCCTCCTCCTACTGATCTGTGGCTTTTCATTCGTTAATATCATCAGTTAGCAAGCCTTCTTCGTACTCTGGGTCTGGGTGACAGTCTGGTTTGCCTGGTAACTTCACATAGTTAACCTCAGTCACTGACATTTTATTTGCCAAACTGAACAAAGAGAGAGCCTGACGATTCTGCATTGTGTGTACAAATTACCATCTGCAGATGAACGTGATGTTTGTGATCAGAAGGGAAGACGTGTTTTTTGTTTAACCATTTCATATAGGAGGACACAAGTAAGTCCTCCCTCTTCAGATCATGGCAGTTTTAATCTATCTCATAAGCATAACCACTACAATCTATTATTAGGAGAAAACTTGGTAGTTGAACAGGAAAGAAAGAATTGTTTTTAATCCCGCTAACCCAAGGTAGGTTTATACTAAGTATCTTTTCACACTTTGCTAGTTTCTTACTTTCTGTTTTTCCTCAAAAGAGTTAAGCAGAATGCAGACCGGCAGGGGATTTGCACATGAGTTAGCAGGGCTGCTGTATCTTACTAACTAACCTGACTATCCTCCCTTCCACTTTCTCTACTTTAAAATCCTCTGCATTTTATAATACTCTGCCAGGGGCAACAGCCTTTACAGAGTGGCCAGTACAGTACAGAGGCTTTGACACATACTGCAAACAACAACAGCAGCCTGGCCAGTTTGGCTCAGCTGTTGAGCGTCGTCGGCCTGTGGACCAGAGAGTCCCAGGTTCAGTTCCTGCTAGGGGCACGTACCAGAAAAAACAACAACAACAACAACAAAAAACAAGCAGTAGCAGCAGCAACTTTGAATAAAAAATAGTAGGAACATGAAATAAAGCCAAATGCCATGACAGGAAACCAGATAGCAAGCCTTGTCGATTTGCAAGTGCACTGGGACAAGATGAAGGGGGGTTGGGTTGGCTCTCCCAGCATTTGCTGTAATTGAGCAAGGTCCAGCTGCATATGGGGCTTATGAAACATGGCTACAATCACCACAGGAATTTCAATGGTAACAAGGAGCCAGAACAATCAAACCCACAGAAGAAGATACCTTGATTTATTTCCATTTGCATTACTGCTATAAATAGTGTGACCCAGACCTTCTTGGACCACCTAAGGAAAAGGATTTGTGGTCCTATTGTTCTTACTTCCGTCATAATTGATAAATGAAAGGACAAAGGTGAAAGGCATACTCCTAGCTGGCAGAGTTTTGAGACTAGACAAGCTGCACTGAGGAGGAAACATGAGATTGGCATTCTCCTGGTCAGATCAGACATTCTCAAACAAAGCAGTCTTAACATGCCGACCCTAAATATAGTATAATTTGTGATAGGGTGCCACCTAGTGGTGAATGGTAATTTTATGTTTTCAAGTTAGAGAAATAATAAAAGCAGAGTCACAAAGGTCTAAACTGGCGCTGTCCAGTTCATCTGTAGTGTGAGCCACATGTGTGAGAATTGCATAGAACCAAGGACCGTGAAGGGCATTTCTGATACCAGTTCTGAGGCTTAGTATGATGAGGTCTTGGGACAGTGGTAGCAGTGGCTGTGGAAATGGGCAGAGGTCATGAGAGGCATTTCCTGAGTATGGATGGTGAAAGGTGATTGATTCTAGGTTTTGACCCTAGATGCCTGCAGCTAGGTGGTTAATCTAGCCTAAGGATTTGTTGGGTGATCCAGAGACTCTGGGGCACTGAGCCTTATTCTGGGTCCCCAGCTCTGAATTCAGGAACATTCTGGACCAGGCTGAATTTACCTGAGGTCAGGGAGGGTGATGAATGAAGACTTTTCACGTTGAGGGTACTTGAATGGTGCCCGATAGTTCTGTATGTTGCTTAACTCCAGGTTTGATGAGGGTCACTGGCCCAGCACATCCCCAGGCTGATATATACACACAGAGGGCTGGTCCTATGAGGAACAGTTGAGCTTCCCGAAGGTCTAACGTGACCCAGTTTTTCCTAGATGTTTCCACCTGCAACTCACCCCCACCACCAGCACGCACACACCTATGGTGAGGTTTTTTTTTTCAGTTCTGAAGTTAGCATTTTACTCTATCAAAAAAAAAAAAAGTGCTGCTGATCTGCCGCAGTCCAGCCGCAGCAGGATCCGGGAGGTCCGGAAGGTGGGAAGGCGTCGGCGCCGGGAGACAGATGACTACACGACTCAGAAGCAGTGTGACACTGTTCCGATTTATTGTAATTTTCTTTATGATTATACATTTTCTTTTTTGGCATAAGTTAAGCATTTGCAGTTACAGAAGCAGAAAGTTAAGTATTATAGTTCCAGGAGGTTAGTTTCAGTTAAACAAAGGAAAGGAACAGAAGGATAGATAGGCTTATTTTTGTAACAGCAAAATATTGGCATCCAGATATGATTTTTTGATTCTTTGTGTAAGGTTATTGATTAACTATACTCTAACCCCTGTTTCTTTTCTCTTTCTCTATATCAGCTATGTTTTGTTTAAGATCTCCAAGGAGATAAGGGCAATATTTTTTATAATATCTGTTCAATTGAAATAGAATAGAACATTCTTGTTTTTTGGACCATAGGCACCAGGGAGGACCTTGGCATGCTAACTGTTTCATGAAAGGCAAGCTAGTGTAAGGAACATGTAGTCCGTCTTTGTTAATTATTCTTAATCTATTTTCATTGTATACTCCTGTAAAGGGCAAGGGAGGGTCAGGAGTCAGGAATCCTTTGTGAAATACTCCTTCTATCTGGGGAGGAGGCACAGGAGTATAGGGTGCCTCCATTAGTTCTACCTGTTGCAATTCATCTATGACTTGTTTATTAGAGACTTTCAGGGGAAATATCTTACCTAATTGAATTAGTAAATTGTTAAGACATTCCGGTCATGCAGTGGTGACTGTTTCAGGGGAAGCTGGCGTTTCTTCAGAATTTAATTGAAACAGCAAGATTTCAAACATTTTGTTTGCTAGTCCCAGGTTAGTCATCAGGGAAATCAGAATAACAGTTCTTAGTATAATTCCCGTAATACCAATTAGTCCTATTCCCATGCCACGTCCTCTTCCTAGAAGATGCATCCTTGAAGCTTTCCTCTCCATGTCTGACCTTGTCAGACAGCATGGTGAGAAGAGGACGTGGCACCGATCACTGTGCTGTTTTCTGGCTCTGCTCACTTCCTTCCGGTTCCCCTAGGTATGTAAAACCTGTCGATTTACCCAGTGGGGTCCTTGGTCTTGGCTTTCCTTCAGTTGGAGCCAACAATGACATTCATCAAGATAGCCAACAGGCAGTAGGTGAGAAAACAAAGCTTCTAGAGAATTCCTGTGTGCCTTGGGCAGGTCAACCTCCTCTCTGTTGGAATAGGTTCAAAGAACTTCTTAACTATTATTGATAATGCAGGGACATTTAAAACAATCGCTTAACCTCACCTGAATTTGCAATGGCCCAGAAGTCTTAAACACACAAAAAAACTTGAAACAATTCACAGTTGGATCTCCAGGTACAGACCTGCCGAGTAAACTGGGATTTCCCAAAGGAGGCCGTACTGGAGTGAGAGACGGTGGGTCTGGAAAGAAAGATCACTATATGAGAGAAATTCTATTTAATTTACCTAAGGAGTGTCCATGTTTAGCTTTTTCCCCATCAGCACCTTCTATTGATATAGTTCTGTCTGCACAGTTGTCATGCAATGGAAGAGAAGTTATATGTCTAATGATGTTGATTTTAATACTGTTTGAAATAGCAAACATTGGTTAATATCTCAATGATCATTGTGGAAGATTGGCTGTATAAACCAAGACCTATCAACAGAGGGGGAGGTATGGGGAACATCCACAATAGCGTCAGCATTAATAATTTTTAATTAGAAAAATAAAAATAAGCCCGGCTGGTGTGGCTCAGTAGTTGAGCATCAACCCATGTACCAAGAGGTCCCCGGTTCTATTCCTGGTCAGGGCACATGCCCGGGTTGTGGGCCCGATTCCCAGTGGGGGGCATGCAGGAGGCAGCCAATTGATGTTCTTGAGATCTCATTGATGTTTCTATCTCTCCCTGTCCGTTCTTCTCTCTCTAAAAATCAATTACAAATTTTTTTTCTTTAAAGAAAAATAAATTAAATAAAAAGACATATCCACACTAAGGAAAAGGTAGAGAAAACAACAAAATGAAAAAAAAATAGATGAAAAATAATGGTTTTCAAATTGGACGTTAGGTGATAAAGGACAGTCATCCTTATGGAACTCTTTAATGTGGCCTCTACGGCCAGGTACTGTCTACATCCTCCCTGCCTCACGGACCTCTTCTTGTTTCTTATTCGCTCTGCTAAAGTCACACTGAATCATCATACAATTATCACATTGTATGATGATTCTCTCTCTTTTTTTTTTATCCTCACCCGAGGACATTTTTCCATTTTTTGTTCAGGTAGAGTAGGAGGGGGAGAGAGGAACAGAGAGAGAGAGAAACATTGACGTGAAAGGACACATAGAGTGGCTGCCACCCTCACGACTGACCAGAGCCGGGGACAAACTGCAACCGAGGTACATGCCCTTAGCGGGAACCGAACCCGGGTCTCTCGGGACCGCAGGCCAACGCTCCAACCGCTGAGCCAAACCGGCCAGGGCTGATGATTCTCTTTTTATGAGGTGTCCAGAATGGACCAGTCCTCAAATGGTCATTTTGAGACAGAAGGCGGATTAGTGATTGCCAGGAGCGGGGGCTTAGGAGGAATGGGAAATGACTGAGAATGGTACAGGTTTCTTTTGGGTGTGATGAAAATGTTCTGGAGTTAGTGGCGATGGTTGCACAACTTTGTGAATATACTGAAGCTCACCAAACTGTATACTTTAAATGGGTGTCTTGTATGGTATATGAATTAAATCTCAATATAGCTATTTTTTTCCCAAAGAAACGAGAATGAGCAAAGAAGCCAGTGAACATGAGAATATATCTAAAGCATATATACAACAACAGCTAAATTAAGGGATTAACAGCATGGTAGAATTATAATAACAGATAATTTTGTGGTTGTGTGCTCCCACAGACACACGTGGAATAATTTTAATTTCAAAAGGATGAACTGCAGTTGATAAAAACATATAGAATATATAAAAAGCCATGAGTTTAGAAACATTGTTTAGAAAGGAAATAGTCCTGCAGATTGCTGGAACATCAAACTTATTCCTCTGAAGACTGATAATTATAGGGGAAGAACTAAATATTTATCCTGCCTTTCTGATATAAACTGAATTTCAGTGTAACTGAATATCTCTGTGGAAAAGGGAAAGATTTTCAGTACAGAAGAATTTTGCCTAGGGCTGGGAGTAGGGTAAAGGTGAGTGGGTACCTATGGTATAAAATTGAAGACGGCACTCAGCCCTGATTCTAGTTAACAAATGCAC